ATTCAAATGTCCACTTAATCTTTAATATTTGGCCATTTCTTTAGGACAGAAATGCGATAGCCACTGTAATTAAAAGAATATGTGGACATCAAAACGTGTAAACTCAGAGTGAGGATTTGAGCGTTTATTTTGAAACAGCGATGTATTCTCCTGAGTTTGCGTTGATTTATAAATTATTTACCTTACAAATCTGATGAAATGGTGTGCGTTGCGTTCCCAGATGAACGTTATAATAAACCCAAACTCACAACAACATGCAGAGATGGCGTTTGAGACGCTCCACACATGTAAATGATAACAGTTCCTGTGGAACTACTGTGAACGGAGCCACTGTGTGACGCATGTACTTAACCTACACGCATGTAAATAATGAAAGTGCATATACTGTATTAGAACTGCATCACATATAATTATTCAATAAATCGTAGCGTTTGTATATTCACAATTATGCTTAATTATGATTTTTAAATGGGTTTAATATATCTTGCAGCCTTGGGAAACAGTCTAATAATGTGTTTTATGGATTCTCGTCCGTGAAATGCGCCACTTCTGGTATTTTGCTGGTGAGTCAACGCGAGCAAAATGAAGTCGAGGATTTTTAAAAATCGAATAGTCGAATAAAATCGACGAATCGCGACAGCCCTAATAGTCATGCAATGTTGATGTTTTTAACATTAACAATTTGAGAACAAAGTATAACAATAATAATAATTTGCATGGTTTGACATGATCTGAGCTAAATTTGCAATCGTTAGATTTAATCACTATTGGTAGCACGATTTATTGTAAAACTTTTTTTTTTTCAATTGGTCATAACAAAACTGGCAGATATGTTACTTACTTGCTCAGATGACATTTTTCGATGAAACTTCTTATTTTGGACATACTTCCAAGACGTAGTATCTGTAATTCCGAAGTACAGTGAATATCCAAAACGGTGCATTGACTGACAGCCCACAAATACACCTCAAAACATTAGATTCATCTGCGCTGAGGAGCCGTGCCAATGCACAACCCACATAAAGAGGAAAATTCTGCAAATAACTACAATTGCAGGTTTCTAAACTTACAGAATGCAGCTATAAATACTTGATTATAATTTTGTCAGCATTCTGCAGCAAAGTATATTTTTTATAATGACCTCTAAACTGTATTACTGACTATTATCATACCTCTGCTTGTTCCATGTCCCATATCACTCCATGGACCCTTTAATAGTTATTTCATGTTTTTATTATTAAATGTATCACAATTAATTACATCAATATTTGCTGTGAACCTAAAGATAATAGACAGACAAAAAACTAAACCTAATATATTGTTCATTTCCTTATCATTAAAATCCTACCACTGGGCTACAGTTCACAGCAATTCATTTCGCAGATTTAGATATAGGGTCCATTCATGCAGCACCCATAAATTCCATTTATTTATTTGTAAATACATTTTACAATGTGCAGTTGGTCATTATAACAAAATAAACCTCTTTGAGCCAATGTCTTGATTCATTTAGCAAAAGTGACCAATGGACTATTATTCCTTATGTATTATATACTATTTGGTACATGAGGTTGTTCTTTGCTTCTTTTAGACCAGTATGGTTTCAGTGGAAGGTCTGACTAAGTTGGTGGATCCGTCTCAGCTGACAGCAGATCTGGAAGGGACACTGGAGTACGACCATGTGGAATGGACTGAGCTCCGTGTTTCCCTTGAGGAGTTCACTGGAGGCGCTCTGCACCTCCTTTCCCGGCTGGAGGAGCTGCAAGAGGTGCTTTCTCGCCAGGAGCTGGCAACTAACGCAGAGGAAGCACGGAAACTCCTGGAGGAGCACGCTCGACTGAGGAAGACTATGACAAAGGCACCTGTGGATGAGTTAGACCATGAAGGACAGCGACTCCTTCAGAAGATCAGGGATGGGGGCGACGGAAGACTCTCTGGTGGGGCTGACTTCCAGAGTTTGGTACCTAAGATTTCCGCCCTATTGGATAAACTTCAAGTTACGCGGCAGCACCTGCTACAGGTCTGGCACAACCGCAAACAACAGCTGGACCAGTGTTTTCAGTTACGGCTGTATGAGCAGGATGCAGAAAAGGTTAGAGGACAAAATGAGAGTGTTTATAATAATAATAATAATAATTATTATTATTATTATTATAAACACTCTCATTTTGTCCTCTAACCTTTTCTGCATCCTGCTCATACAGCCGTAACTGAAAACACTGGTCCAGCTGTTGTTTGCGGTTGTGCCAGACCTGTAGCAGGTGCTGCCGCGTAACTTGAAGTTTATCCAATAGGGCGGAAATCTTAGGTACCAAACTCTGGAAGTCAGCCCCACACAATAATAACAATAAAACAACAACAATAAAATTAACATCATAATAAAATTAGTTATTATATATGTAATTGTATATGTAATTACATTTTTTTTTAAATTACATATATTTATTATGTTTGTAATAAATTGTAGTCTTAATGCCTATGCTTTTAGACCTTAAAGCTTTTCATTTTTTTCAACAGTTTAATAAATATTGAGCTTTGCACGTGACAGAAATATTTAAAAGAAAACATTTAAGATAAGGCCATAAATTAAGAATTAATTCTAATGACTTTATAGCCACGTTTTATTAATTAATTCCCTATTTTTAGTTAAATTGTGGCAGTAAAATATGCTGTACCAATTTGTGTGTTTTATATATATATATATATATATTATATTGTATATATATACTGTATATATTGCACAAGTAAACACCACTCAACACAATTATTATTAAAATGATAATTGTATGTTCACTGTACTCCCTTCTGTGTCCTGATGTCTGCGGGAGGCCGTGTGTTCCGTTTAAGCCCAAACGGAGAGGCACTCTCACACTCCCCGGTCCTGCTGACTGAGCCCATCTGTGCTCCACCAGAGCCAGAACACTAAGGGCTATTGCTTGTACATCAGCCAAAGAGAAAATCTGTGTATATTAAGGTTCACGTGTAGATCACTAGAACACTAACAGGGAGTTAAATCACCCAAAGCCCTAGAATGACTGTTAAGCAAATTTGCCTGGGCCTTTGTAAATACGTATGTACCCCACTTTGGAAGGGTTTTTTGAGACCAAACTGTCTGTGAATGCAGCATTTTTCTCTTAATTTCTCTCTCTGTAGATGTTTGAATGGATCGGACACAATAAAGAGCTCTTCCTGCAGACGCACACAGACATTGGCGTGAGCTACCAGCATGCAGCAGATCTACAGACCCAGCATGACCACTTTGCTATGAACTCTATGGTACGACGGAGGAATGCTACAAGAAAACACCCTTGATACAATCTCAACAAAATTGAACAGCTTCTGTGCCTTCTTGTTACTAATTTAATGGTATCATCTTCTGGCATCCTGTTTCTGTCTTTTCAGAATGCGTATGTCAATATCTCACGTATCATCTCGGTGGCGACACGGCTCTGTGAGGCAGGTCATTACGCTGCTGCTCAGATACAGCAGATCTCTGGCCAGCTGGATCAGGACTGGAAGAGCTTTGCCTCGGCTCTGGAGGAGCGCAGTGCCATCCTGGCCATGTCCTCTGTGTTCCACCAGAAATCTGAACAGGTAATAAATGTTCATTTTGTATGATTGTAATGAATGCATTAAATTTTCATTGTCAGATCGATGCATTGTGATGCATCATTACAATTTTACACCCCCAATGTAATGATTTTACCCTGTGCATTTCTATGCTGTAAAACTGTTTTGGAAGAAACAAAAAATCTAAAAATCTAAAAACGTGTTTTATGTAGTTTTACATTAGTCAAAAATATGATTTAATATAACTGATTATATGCAATAGTGTGATTGCATTAGGCCACACCAAGAAAAGTAATTTTTAATCAGGGAGAAACAACACCTCACATAATCCAACCACTGTGTATTTACTGATGTTATATTTCCTACTAAAACTAGTTAATCTGTTATCACTAATTTGGTTCCTTGACTCATTTGATCCATTTTTTTCAACAATTCCTGATTTCCTCTATTTGGCTCCCCTGTCAGCTTCAGTCTGTTTGTTCATTAATAACTCCTTTACCTAAATGTGCACACATAGCTTCTTCATGCCTTTGATTTATGACCCCAATTTGCATGATCCTCAGCAACTCTGTTTGATTATGTCTGAGCTTGTTTTAAATGAGTGTGTACAACTGTGCACCTCTGTCCTCTCTGGTTTTATTACATGGACCTTTTATGCTGTAAAGTTTAAGAGGGTGTTCTCTCAGTTTCTGTCCAGCATGGAGGGATGGGTGAAGTCATGCGGTGAGGTCGGCTTGCCGATAGCAACGCAAGAACTGGAGATAGCCATTCACAACCACCAGAATCTGTACGAGCAGGTCACCACAGCATACACAGAGGTGAGCATTTGAGGAGATGCTCTTTTTAGTAGACTTTTTAATATAAGATGTAGCCCACAAAGCTTTACATATTATGCTTATAATGTTGTAATCAGTACTCTAAAATACACAGACACTTGAAGTAATAAAGTGCAAAGTAAAAATACCACTGCCTATTGAATGTTCTATTTCTGATTGCAGGTCAGTCAGAAAGGAAAAACACTACTGGATGTGTTGCAGAAGGCTCAGCCCCTGCCTGACTCCGGGTCCCTGACGGCAGGGGCCGACTACAGTCAGGCGGTGAGGGGGGTCCTGGAGGCGGTCCATGAGGTAGTTCATCAATATCGCAGACTGGAGGGTCTCTTGCAACACCGCAAGCTCCGGCTACACCAGAGACTTCAGCTGTGTGTGTTTCAACAAGATGTGCAGCAGGTATATGGATTATGGAAATCATGTATAGAACCACTCAGATATGCATGCAATTCCCAAACATGCAATCCTGCATGCACTCACACACACTATACACACAGAATTCAACATCTGACGAATCTGACCCCAGCCTCTCAACCTTTCAGCAGCTGTTTTTAAATTTTTGTGTGTAACGATGTTTCTCCTATGGCAGAACAAATATCAAGTGCAGAGAGCATTAGAGGAAGTGACAAGGAAGTGACACGGACTCTGGCTCATAGTCAATACCTCCAACAATACACTCTGCTTCCTGTGGCCGTCGCCTTCAGGGGCTTTTTGTTGTACTTTCACCGGTTCTCTGTCAGGACTGTGTTGTTTCTTTGATGTCACTGGATCCTTTCCAGGGCCTCTTTAGACAGAAACGAGGCCTTCTCAAGCATTGAGCTTGTGCAGTGAACTAAAAGAACTTTGACTTCTAACTGTCAAATTTTGTTGAACCTTCAAAAATCCCCTGAGCCTCTTTGGAACTAACTATTTAAGCTCTGGCTTGCTGTTAGGATATGTAAAATGTTTCTATCGGTAAGAAACATCACAAATTAGATGACCCTTGTGAAAAAGAAACACACTTTAGCATACGGTTAAAAACAGTACTTATTATGGAAATAATATACTGTAAAAGAATATGCTTAAGTGCAAATTGAGTGTATTGTTTCTGGACACTTAATTGCATGTTATCTGAAAAAGAAATTAAATGAATGAAAATGCGTTATAGTTTAAAATTATATTAAATGCAATTAGTTGAACTTAAGAGTGTTTTTAACATAAATTCGACATAAATAAGACTAGTTTGAAAATTGTCATAATTTACTTTCCCTCAGACTTTTCCAAACTTGTATGAGTTTCTTTCATCTGCTGAACACAAAAAAAAAGATATTTTGAAGAATGTGGGTAACCAAACAGTTGCTGGTCCCCACTGACTTCCAACATTATTCAGAATAACTTATTTTATGTTCCATAGAAAAAAGAAACTCTTACAAGTTTGGAACAACTTGAGGGTGAGTAAATGATGACAGCATTTTCATTTTTGGGTGAACTAACCATTAAAATACATCTTTATATATCATAATTACTTCTATTGTCTTTGAAATGATTAAAGCATACTGCAAAATTTAATTTGAATTGAATCTTGCAGTTAAATATATTTATAATTGTAAATTTGTAATGATGAACATGCAGTTTATTACGTGATTGATATAAAATGTATTAACTTTATATTAACTAAAACTTTTAATTTGCCTTTATTACTAAGGGCACTTTTTAAAAATGTGTGTGTGTGTGTGTGTGTGTGTCTGTGAAGAAACATAACCATGAAAGTACACTTAAGTGGCCTTTTATTGCATTAACATTATCTGCAATACACACATACACATTGTGCTATACACACGCACACATATATATATCCAGTGTTGATGTGTGTGTGCTCAGGTCTTGGACTGGATTGAAAACCATGGAGAGGTATTCCTCAGTAAACACACAGGAGTTGGGAAGTCTGTACACAGAGCACGAGCACTACAAAAACGGCATGATGACTTCCAGGAGGTAGCACAGGTAGGAATCAGTTTATGTTGTGTTTGTGTGTGTATTTTTTGCATGATGAGAGAGGAGCAAATGAGCAGTAGTAGTGATATCATTCATCTTGCTATTGAGTTTCCTGTTAATATTCAAGGAAGATGTTTTTAATGTACTTCTCTCTCTCACTCACTCTCTCTCTCTCTTTCACTTCAGAACACTTACACTAATGCGGATAAGCTTCTGGAGGCTGCGGAGCAGCTGGCTCAGACGGGAGAGTGTGATCCGGAAGAGATTTACGCTGCCGCCCATCACCTGGAGGTCAGAGTTCAGGAGTTTGTGCGGAGGGTGGAGCAGAGGAAACTGCTGTTGGATATCTCAGTGTCTTTTCACACCCACACTAAAGAGGTAGTGTGCTCGCACACACACACACACACACACACATGCTAAATAGAGCTTCTCAAATAGGTTTAATAGTTTTGACTGATCTCTGTTCATGCATGAGAGATTTTGTTAGTAGCTCTCAACTTCATTTACTGACTGGCAGCACAAATTAAAAACTAAACTGAATGGACAAAGACAACATAATGAGATTCTGTTTAAACAACTTCTTATGAGAGTAATAATTCTAACTGTAAATAAGTAAAGAAATCCCTGCAGCGCTCTAGCAACTTTCCAAAAAACTTCCTAGAACACTCTAGCAACACCTTAGCGACCCCCTAAAAATGACCTAGCAACTCTAAAACATGCTTCTTTAGCCAGCATCCATTATAAAACACTCACAGGACATGAATTTTGAGAACTACAAAAATTATAAGAAATGTGTTCATGCAAAATACAATGTTATAATGATCATGCTATAGAGTGCATGCGCACACATGGTTTGTTTGTGCATCAATAATAACAGACTTTCGTCTTTACCATGGTTACCATCGTCATCCATCAAATCTTTACTAGCGCAACACTGGTTTGCTTTATCCAGCCGAGAGATGTAGTTTGTGTATCATATGCTCATGCAGCGGTTGGGTGTTTTGAGCTGCTGCTCAGTAATTTGAGAGAGATGATGCTTTGAAGTCAAATACACACTGAATAAAATCTGGACGTGAGTAACTATTCTCTCCGTGACCTCTGATGTAATCAGCTTGTTTTTTTTTGGCATTAGCACAGTTTTTAACAGACTGCTTGAATGCATTCACTTACTGGATGGTTGGACTGAAAACTTTCAGTTTAAAATGATCTGACTGCAAACAGAGGAGCAGAAATATAACAACGTCTCTTGTCCAAAAATCTGCTTATTTTCACTTTTATTTAGTATTATTTCCACTATAATGTATTGATGTAAATTATTAATCATTAATTAAATAAATTTTTACCACACTTTGAAAACACCTGTCCTGGAAACTACTACCCAGAACATCTTAGCAACAGCCATGTAGCAACACCCTAATAACCCCCAAAGTGGCCAAGTAACCACCTAGAAAAACCTAACAACTGCCTAGCAACACCCCAGAAACCACCTACAACAGCCTAGCAACAATCTAGCAACCACCAAACAGTGAACAAGCAACTACCTAGAACACCCTGACAACTGCCTACCCAGCATCTTTTTACTGTCCGGGATTTGTCTTGTCGAGTCGCATCGCGTAGGGCAAAGGAACAGCTGATCAGCAGCCTTGAAACAACATATCTGTCTGACTGTCTGTCTGTCTGTCTGTCCTGTCTGTCTGTAGCTGTGGTCATGGATGGAGGACTTGCAGAAGACTCTTGTGGAGCCGGTGGTGAACTCTGAGTCTGTGGATGCTGTTCAGGAGCTGATCAGACAGTTTCAGCAGCAGCAGAGCAGCACTCTGGACGCCACACTCAATGTCATCAAAGAAGGGGAGGAGCTTATTCAGCACCTGCGGTGAGGTTGACAGCACGCTCCTATTGTACAGTATTTCATCATAACAAGTGGTGGATGAAGTGGGGGGTGGGGGGCATTTTCATAAAGTAATCGAACGGTGAAGAAAATTCTAGGTCTAATTCTAGTTGGGAAATAATCATTTTGAACTATTTTAAAATAATATTTTAAAATATGCACGCATACACTTTTATTTGTATGTCTAATATGTTGAAAACGCAAAACGTTTCTTGATTTTTCACATTTAGAATTACATGAGTCATGTAAATAATACCATATTTTCAATTCAAAACGTCCATATTTGTGAAAAAAAAGTCGATTTTAAAATAATATTTTAAAATATGCACGAATACACTTTTATTTGTATGTCTAATATGTTGAAAACGCAAAACGTTTCTTGATTTGTCACATTTAGAATTACATGAGTCATGTAAATAATACCATATTTTCAATTCAAAACGTCCATATTTGTGAAAAAAAAGTCGAGTAGTTTGCATCACTGGATACTACTGTCATTAGTGTAACATTTCTATCATAAAAACACTAGTTTTGAATTACGTTGTTGACTCAAGAACAGTTGCAATCTGATCAGTCCAACTGGCATATGAATAGTTCAGCGCGATTTGTGAACGATTTAACAGGTTCATTGAAAAGAATCAGCTCGTTCATGAATCGGACACCTCTATCGGCTCTCGGAGCAGATGACGATTTCTTCAATTCAAAATAATGAGGAACAAGCATGTTTTTAGGAAATGCAGTAAAGTAAAAGTACATGTCGTGAAAAGTAAATGTAGTGCAGTAAAAGTTTTTCAAAATAAAAATACTCAAATAAAGTACAGATGCATGAAAACTGTCCACCAGATTTTTCCACAGTTACTGTCCACCACTGAGCATAAACCAACTTTTCATATTTTCCATTCCATAATTTACCAATTTCTTCCCAACCTGACTTCTTGCAACTGCCCTGAAAGCGTAACTATCCAGTGAAGTACAGGATTTAGATCCAAATCTGTTAACCACAAGGCCACAGCTCCAATAATTTTTAGTTTGCAGATCAATTTTAATAATATTCTTTTCAGATTACTTCTGAACAAGTCCTTTCATGTTATGTCATACTGATATACTGGTTCTGAATTAACGTGCCCTCTATTGATATTGATTTGCTCTTCTATGTGTTGGCGTGGGTTTGTGTTCGTTCAAACAGGGACTCAGCGCTGGCCTGTAATAAGCTGCCTCATGCCAGCTCCATGGCTCATATCGAGGGCGTTCTTCAGCAGTTGGATGAGGCTCAGGCTCATATGGAGGAGGTTTTTCACGAGCGCAGGATCAAACTGGACATCTTCCTGCAGCTCCGTATCTTTGAACAGTACGCCTTGGAGGTGTGTGTGTGTTTGATGGCCTGGACTCAAGTCATTATCAGCTCAACTTTATTTGAACAGATGTTCTTCTGTGCTGTCTGCGTTTGCATATCTGTATGTTTGTGTATTATGTAAAATTGAATGTTTTAATTTGTAAATCAGTTTTGAGGAGTGTTGTTTGTTTTACTGTATACACTTGATCTCATAGTTCATCCCCATATCTGTCATCGTCTAAATGGCTTACTTTCTTCTGTGGAACACCAAATGTGAATTTTTGAAAAATATCCTACTTACTCTTTTCAGTATGGAAGTGAATTAAGACTAGGGCTGTCGAGCTTCAAGAAAGAAACAAATGCATCAGAAAAGTGTTCCATATGACTCATGCATTGTAGTGCAGTGTTATTTTAGTATTATTATTTATTTATCAATATTAGCATTTATTAATATTTCTAATTTGTTTTTATTTTATATTTTTAGTTTTCATTTTAATTTTAGTTTAATTTAAGTTTGAGTAATTTTGTTATGTGCTTTTGTCATTTATATTAGTTTTTTATATATATTTCCATTTAGCTTATATATTTTTTTTTATTTTAGTTTTAGTAATTTAAGTACTTTAACTTAATTTTTTTCAGTTAGTTGCAGCATCTTCTTGCATTTTTTTTCATGGGTTTGAACTAAACTTTGTATAACATATCTTTATTGAGTTTTAACAAAACATTTTACAAAAACACAACACAACTCACCAGAACATACCTCAGGCAGGATTTTAAAAAACAACAACAACAACAACAACCCCTGTAAGCATACAATATATTGATTAATATCATGCAGTCCTCATAAATATTCTTACATTCCATAACTTCACACATCTAAAGCTTCTTCAATATCTCCATTTTTATCCAATGTCCAAAAACACCTCCCAGATATCAAAAATTTCAGAGAGTTTCTTCCTTATTACAGTACATATGTAAGCTTTTCAAGAGCCAAACAAGATATTATGGTTTTCAGCCATAGTCCAAGGGAAGGGCAATTGGTAAGTTTCCAACATAGGGCAATAGAACGTCTTGCTTGTAATAGACACAAGTCCACCAGCTTTCTTTCTTTAGTAGACAAAGAGCAATTGTCTGTATAAATATTAAATACACACAATACAGGACATAGAGGAATTGGAGACGAAGTAAGTTGAGAAACATATGGAGTCACCCCACCCCCAAAATTCTGCAACTCCTCACATTCCCACACACAATAGAAAAATGTACCTTGAAGCTTATTGCATTTAAAACATAGATCAGGGATATTAGGGTTAATTTTTTTTAAATCTTACAGGGGTTATACTGTATAATTTCTCATTACCCACTTATATTATGGCAGAGTCTCAACCGCGTGTTCATAGTTTGTGTTTGTGCATTTAAACAAATTGCATTCCAGTCATCTAATGAAATATCCATATTTACATCTTGTATCCATGCTTGTCTTTTATTTTCAGAGCTCTCTTTATGATTTTCTCTTAATATGTTATATAACTGGGTAATCTGCCCTTTAATGTAGCAATCTTGCAATGTGAGTGTTTTCAATATTGACATTGGGGGAATCTTCTTGCATTGAAATTAATTTTGACTTCCAAAAACTTTATAGAAAAAAGTTTTAATAGTTTTAGTTTTATTTACTGATAACAGCACTTCTCCAGTAAGCTGAGCTGAACTGGATCAGTCTGATTTGTGAGTGAATCATTGAAAAGATCCGACTCAAAAGAATGATTCGTTCACAAATTGAGCATCACTACTCTCATGGATGTCGAGATTTTCTGTGATTGGCGACTTAAATTCTGGTCACTATTTTTATTCATATGAGTGTAAACTGGTAATATATGCGTTTGTTCCATAGGTGATGGGTGAGCTGGATGCATGGAAACAGGATCTGATGCGACAGGCATCTGATTTCAACACAGAGGAACTCGCGCTGGCTGAACAGAGATTACACAGACACACTGAGCGCAAACTCGCCATGAACAACATGACCTATGAGGTCATACAGCAGGGACAGGATCTTCACCAGTACATCATGGAGGTCCAGGCTTCAGGTGAGGAGCTGGTCAGAAATGTAGAGACAGAGTGAAGAACACAGGAAGGGTGCAAGAGAGAGTAATAGTTTCATACTATCACTATTGGTGTTTGCTTTCACATCTTTTGTTTTGCCGATGTTCATTTAGCATTTGTCGGGTTGCGGAATCTTTGATCAGTGTGGTATAATTTCCTCCAACAAACCTTGACATAATCTGACTTGATCAGGAATGGGTTCCATGACAGTTGTCACACTTCAGGTCAGAAGACGATGAAGATTCAAAACAGAAGACTTTATTAAATCAAACAAATACAGGTAGATCCACAGGATAAAGCATTATGGCATCACAAACAATATCAGACAAATGAGTGCACAAGGAGGAACTTAAATACACAGTGGTGAAAAACTAATAACGAACAGCTGTGATTATTCAGTTAGTGTCCATGGAAATAGAATAGTGGCGGGAAACTAAGACAAAGGAAAAAGGAAACTGACTGAACAAACAAGAGGTCCATGAAACTGAAACCAAAAGAGACTGAACTAAACATAACCGTGACAGAACTCCCCCTTCCGGGAAGGCACGGCCTCATGTTGTAGAATGACTGAGGTGGTTCAGGAGGCAGACGAGGGGCAGGTGAAGGGTAGGAAACTGGTAGGAAACTGGCAGAAGGGAGGAACCAGGGTGGAGCAGATGGTGGCAGAATCCAGAGAGGAGCAGACAGAGGCAGGACCCAGGGAGGAGCAGACAGATGCAAAACCCAAGGAGGAACAGATGGAGGCAGGACCCAGGGAGGAGCAGACAGAAGCAAGATCCAGGGGGAACCAATGGTGGCAGGATCAGGAGCAAGATAGTGTGGATAGGAGGAGTAGCCAACCAGGGATCCAGAGCCCAGCCAGAATAACAGCCCACGGCGGAGTTGATGGAGGGAGGAGCCATGCTGAAGGCTTGGCAGAAGTGACCATGGTGATGACAGACAGAGATGGAGCTGTTGAAAGAGGTAACCAGGGCACAGATGGAGAGCACAAATGGCAGAACGACGAAGATGGTATAGGAGACCATGGTGAAGCAGCCGTGACGAGTGATAGAGGTGGAGCCAGGGAGCCTGAGGACTGCGGTGATGACATGGAGACTGAGGAAAGAGGTGGAACCTGAAATAATGAGGAGCGCAGTGAAGCCGTAGGGGTGGAGGGACTAAGCGTAGCTGACAGCCTAAAAGTCCGTGGCTAAGATGGAGTGACGACCGACCAGGATGGAGCCAGTGGGACGAGGGAATCCAGAGGAGGCAGAAGGACGATGGTCCCGAGTGGAGCAGAGGGAGGGAGGAGCCAGGGCAGAGCTTGTGGGTCAACTGGCTGAGGTGGAGTGAATGGTCCAGAAGCCGAAACTAGAGCTATGGGAACCTCTAGCCTAGATGGAGCTGGCGACCAAAGGACCAAAGGAAGATCAGCAAACCTGAGTGCGGTAACTGGAGATGTCGATGGACTGGAGGTAGCCAGCAAAGGCAGGGCTGAAGAACAGGCTAGATTATGAAGAGAAGGCGGGAGAGGGAGGCTGGGCGGGTGCTCTGCAGACACAGGATACTCTGAGCTGGGCAGGACCAGCGATGAAGGCAATTCTGAGCTGAGCATAATCAGCAATGATGAAGACACATGTAATTTTGAACTAGGCAAACTCGGTGACGATAAACAGGAATCTCAGTACTGGGCAGGGGTGGCGGGAGGAAAAAGGAGACTTCCTCCTCTAAATATAAAAAAAAAAACCTCCATTCCAGCTCACCCTCAGCAGCGGGATAGTAGGTGGGGTCCTTCTCTATACCCTCATACTCCAAGTGTCCCACGGTAATACACAGTGGTGCCGGCTCACACATCTGGTCAGACTCCTTTTGGGACTCAAGCATTGGGGCTATGACTGGCTCTGTCCTCTCAGGCTCTGGCTCTCTCGTCTCTTCATCTCAGCAACGTGGCGATGGATGTTGGATGGGGTTGGACACTTGTGCTGTTTTCCTCCTCTTTGGCTTCTCCCACTTTAAAGGGGGACCCATCCACCCAGAGGACAAAGTTTATGTACTCAGCTAAACTGCAACAGGAATTCCCTCTGGGCATCGGGAAGCGGATGTCTTCATCCAGCCCACACCAAAAGCTGTCCATGAGGGTGACGTGATTGCACGCCGCTTGGTGGCTGATGGTGACAAACTCCTCCACGTAGTCCTCCAAGCATTGGCCACCTTGGAAGATAAAAATCACTCCTCCACTGAGTCCCGGCCAGCTTTGCGGTGCCACATTAATGGCAGCAATCTTCCCTCTTCTTCTCATCTTTGGGTCTGGTATTCTGTCACACTTCAGGTCAGAAGATGATGAAGATTCAAAATAACATAACTTTTTATTAAATCAAACAAATACAGGTAGATGAGGAATGCGCAAGGAGGAACTTAAATACACAGTGATGAAAAACTAATAGCGAACAGCTGTGATGACTGAGTTAGTGTCCATGGAGATTAGTGGTGGGACAAAGGAAAAAGGAAACTGACTAAACAAACTAGAGGTAAATGAAACTGAAACCAAAAGAGACTGAATAAAACATAACATGACAACAATGAGGTACATTTTTATTAAGTGAATTAAATGACTCAAATGATTGGAATTGATCACATACAGTGGTGTGAAAAAGTGTTGGCCCCCTTCCTGATTTCTTATTTCTTTGCATGTTTGTCACACTTTAATGTTTCAGATCATCAAACAAATTTAAATATTAGTCAAAGATAACACAAGTAAACACAACATGCAGTTTTTAAATGAAGGTTTTTATTATTAAGGGAAAACAAAATCCAAAACTACATGGCCCTGTGTAAATCAGGAAGGGGGCCAACACTTTTTCACACCACTGTATATCAATATTTATGGATGTCCATAGATAATGTAAAGACATTGCTGTGGCAGATTGTGGAAAATAATTGAATAGACATCACAAAAAATGACTTAAGAAGTCAGTGTTTGTTTTATTTAACTGAACATAAGACTATCGCAAGCATACAGACCACAGCAATCCATTTCTGTCTGCGGCAGACAAAAGGCCCTTCACACAGAACACGTTCTTCTATTCCTTTAACAACACCTGTGTTCTGTTTCATTTTGTGCTGTCAGGGCATTGCCTGTGGATTCACAAAAACATGAAGTTGGTGAAACATGATGGTAGTAAAATCACTTATACTGAGATCTGTATATGGGTCAAGGGCGATGTTATTTTATACTATATAATATTTATTTTTTATTAATTTTTTTTTTACTATCATAGTATATATTTTATTTTGTTTTGAATTAGCTTTTTTTTTAGTTTTCAAATTATAATCAAAACAGTTTGGGTATCAACATTCTTCAAAAAAATCTTCTTTTAGGTTCTGCAACAACAACAAAAAGTCATACAAGTTTTATATTAATATTTATATTTATGTATACAGTATATTTAAAGAAATGTATGAACCTCATCTTTCATGTACAGATTTTATTGCTGGCCTGCTGTCCTTCATCCTCTGTCCAGTTTTATTTGTGCAAATGCCAGTGCGCTTCTCTTTTATTAGAAGCTCCTTGTGTCTCACGCCATGTGATGAAAACATTATTTATTTTTTACAGTAACTAACACCTTTGAAAGAAATCTTGTTGGGGTAATGTGAACAGTCTACATCCAACATCTGACTTTTACAGTGTTTGAAATGTTGCTCTTTATTGGGTCAATGTGAACCAGCCTTTACAGCAGCAACACGGCTTGCTAATGTCTACTGTTGCAGCCGGTGAGAAATTAAAAGAACACTGGAGTGATGATGAGTTAGTGTTCAGTGGGGAGATGAAAGAGTGTGAATCAGTCATCGCTTCACTCCTCTGTGCATTTTATTGACAGTTACCATGGACACAACAGCCAAAACCTGCTACCCACATTATGAGCTGTCTTAGATATGTGTGATGAATGACGAAGAGAGAGAAGTGGATGATAGGGTGGTAAAGATAAGGATGGAAAATGTGTGCATGACAGCAAGTGAAGGTGAAATGGATTGGAAGGAGTGGAGGGAGAAGACGGAGCTCCATACAGCTCTGGGATCTCTCATACTATTAACTCTGTATGCAGGGGTGAGGTTGCTATGGAAACCTCCCCTTTACATCCCCTATACCAAGGTTTCCATGGTGATGGGCCTTCGCTCGTCACTTTGGGGTTGCCTCGGACACACTCCATCGCTCACTGTTGGGTTGCCGCAAGGAGGCTCGGGATACTGCAGAGGCCATCCTGTCACTCACACCTCACATTCCCATGGGAACCGACTCCTGTGGCCTGCTGTGAGGTTGTCATGGAGACAGCCTATGGGCAGGTAGCTGAGGATAAGTGTGGTGATGTAAGGGAGGTTAAAACGCCCTGTGTTGTATCTGCAGAGAGTCTCTGTTTCTGGTGCGCTCATTGCCCAGACGCTGGTTGTCTGTCACGCGCTAATGCAGTTACAGACACGCGAACGCACATATGATGGATGCCGCTCGGCTGGGCAGCTGGGACATTTCATCACACGCTCACCTGTCTGACATGTTCCCCACTTACATGCCATCATAACTGCTCCCTGAGATCACAGCAGAGATTGAGACCTTCAGAGGAGGCCAGAGACATAGTGGTTCACAGCACAGCGGCCCCTGCTGGACAGAAGAGAGAAAACTCACTGGTATAATCTATACTCACCTCAAAGAGTTTTTAGTTATTTTTGTATTTTCTGATAACCTCACGCTAACACTTCAATGTAAAATGTGTAATTCTTTTGATGTTAAAATACTTCCTCATATCACATCTTGACATACAGAGTTATACACTACCAGTCAAAGAGTTTGGAATAATTAAGAATTTTTAATGTTGAAAGGAGTCTCTTATGCTCAACCAATGATCTGTCATGACATGTTTGGGGAGGGACTGTTTGACTAACACATGGCCAACGGAGAGAGTGTTCAGGAAACCTGTTTGAAATCTATAATTATTTTGCCATTTTATTTTCTGATGCTAGTTGCATAGAAATGACATAATTCACATTTAAATTGCATGTCTAATTTTTTGTTCGTTTATTTGTATTTTACAAACACTTCACAAAAAGAAGTTGAATGAAGTAGGCTGTGATGAAGATAAAATTTATTTATTAAAACTTTAGACAAACAACATTTGGACTCTTTCAGGTTGTCAAATATTTCATAAAAACACCATCATTTGTTTATATATGCTACTTGGATTGATATTTTATTATATATGCAGTGAAACCGATGTACTGGGCCCTGTGTATATGCTGATATTTATTTTTAAAATCTGTGTATGTTTTTCAGGTATGGAAATCACTGGAGAAAAAGACGTTGACTTGGCGGCAAAAGTTCAAGAACTGCTGGAGTTCTTGAATGAAAAACAGCATGAGCTGGAAGTAAGCGCAGAACACACACACAAACGTCTGGAGCAGTGCCTTCAGCTACGACACCTGCAGGCCGAGGTCAAACAGGTGTGTGTTTAAAATCAGGTGCTACATCTCAGCTCATGGTCACATTTAGTGACACTCATCTAGTTACACTCATCGAAATGTTGTGAGGAACACCTGACATCTATATTCAGGAAAAAAGCCTATGCTCTACTACCATCCAAGATTCTGACTGATGCCATTAGTCTTGAGTACAAGTGCCCGGCTAATTGCTTTTATCTTTGACACTTTGAGCACACACACACACACACACACTGTTGCTCATATCCAGAGCAGGGCGTGGGTGCAGACTGCAGCCCTGCATTTCAGAAAAATGAATCACTCAATTCACTTGCATTATTTCATAACAGCTGTCTTATTGGCAGTGCTGTCACCTTGGGACTTCTCAGTTTTATCTTTGTTCTTTAATTATTTGTATTGTATCTTGTTTCTATATGTCTTTTCTTGTACATCAGTTTGGTTAGAAAATGAATGTAAATGTAGGCAGGGTGTTAAATAACGTGGGAGGGGGAATCCCTTCAACTCAGCTCGAATGTTTCTGCATCCTTAATGTTTCTGCACATTTCACAGATTCTTAAGATGTGGAACGAAATGTTGAACAGTTTTTCCTGCCATTAGTTTTGAAAATGCCAACATA